GATTATTATGAGCACGTTGAAGAATTTTATTGACAGTAATAAAATACAAGTGGTGTTTTATTTTTATTTTTATTGATTGTAAAAGTGATATAAGTTGGTGGAAGTTTATGTCCAAAGAAACAAAATGGATGGTCAGTTCAAAACTTATTTAAGTTATTATAGTATTTTGAGAAAATGATTAAAAGTTAACTTCTTTTTTTTTTTACTTCTTCACTTTTTGACTTTTTATTTTTATTTTTATTTTTCATTTTTATTTTTTATGAGAGAGAAGTGAGTTAAAAATTAAGAGGTAACTTTTAATCAACTTTTCAAAATAGACCTATATAAGAATGGATTCACTTTGTATTATTATTATTCATATTTCTCAATATTATATCTTATAGATCCTATTTTAAGTTTATAATTTGAACAGTACATCACATAAATTTCATTATGAAGATCAACTGTATAAAAAAATTTATTTTATCAGATATACATAAATAAATAAACAACCAAATAATATTTTATTTGATAAAATAGACATATATATCAAATTTTATCTACAACAATGATATATCTTTCTAAAACTAGAGCTCTATTGAGCTCTAATGAGATAGAAAGTCAAAATAAAATAAGATCAAAATATCAATCAGATGAGCCCTAAATAAACATTAGAGCTATTAAAACTTACAAATTAGAGGCTTTAAAATATTTTTGTTTTATTTATATAACAATGGAGGGCTGTTTTTGAATTCACGGGGTCAATGTTTATGTGTCAAAATGTAGATCATTAGATTGTTTCAATTCAAGAGCTGAAAATATCTTACTCTCATTTGTAAATTGTTTCAATCCAAGAGTGCAAGGACATTTAATCTAACAATGGAGGGCTGTTTTTGAATTCAAGGAGCGAATGTTTAAGGGGTTGTTTGGAATGACTTAAATAAGTATACTTTTTGTCTTTTTATAAAAAGATGTGCAGAAAAGTAGAGAGGTGATGTGATTGAAAAAAGATAAAAAGACAAAAAATACGTACTTATTTTGAGTAGCCAAACTTGACCTAAGTGTCAAAATATGGATCATTAGATTATTTCAATCCAAGAGCTGAAAATGCCTTACTCTCATTTGTTCGGCATGGACATTTCAATGGTTGAGATTAAGGCCAAGTTTGGCTACAAAGAAAAAAGTGCACTTATTTCATCTTTTTATCTTTTTTGGGTCACATCAATCAATATCTCCTCTCTATTTTTTTTACACATAATACAAAAAAAAATTAAAAAGTACACTTAGGATTGGTTTGGGATGTCCTAAAAAAGTGCACTTTTTGACTTATTGGTGGGTTTGGGTTGGGTTTGGGTTGGATTTGATGTGATGTGTTAGAGAGGTGATGTGATTTAAATAAGATAATGTGACTAAAATAAGATAGTGACTTTTTGACTTATTTAATACATGCCAAACTAGCCCTTATTTAGCCTTTCCAAACTAGGCCTAATATTGATATTCACGGTCCAGATTTAGCCCTTTGCTCTTTCGCTCTCCTCTTTCATCTCTGGCCATATCCTCCCTCTTTCTCATTTCAGAGAAATCCCTTCTGTCATACGCTCTTCTCTCTGTCTCTCTCTCTCCTCACCGACTACCGGCCACCTCTCCTCGCCTCTTGCTCTCTCTTCTCTCGACCACCGACCACCGACTCTCTTCTCTCGCCCTCCTGTTTCGCCTCTCTCCTCTTGCGACGACATCGCAACCATTCAGAGGTAAACTACAACTTACAAATTTGCAAGTGATATTTTTGTGGGTTTCTCTCCTCTTGGAAGTCTCACTTGATGTTTTCTTTACGGGGGTTACGTGTATTTTGATTTATGAAGGCTTTATGTGTATTTTTTCTTTACGAAGTTTCTCTCTTCGTGCAATCCATGAAGGCTTTATGTGTATTTTTGGTTCATGGGTTTTGGTTGATTCTTGTGGTTTTTGAGGATTCTTACTGGGTTTTAGAGATTTTGGACACTCTGTATTTTTGGTTCTTGCTTGAGTTTGGTGATGGGTTCTGATATGTTCTTTTTGAAATGGGTTTCAGAATTTTAGTGTTTTTTTTTTATTAAAAAATTACTGAAATTTTGGGAAATTGTTTAGTGACAGTACTGTTCATGGATTTTTCCGTATGGGTTTTGAATGTTTTTCTTCAGATTTAGATTTGATGGTTGACATTATTAATGGGTTTTAACTTTTCTTTTTGATTGAATTGGTCACTTTGAATATTTTAGTTGAGAATGGTATGGGGTTTGAGTGGGTTCTTTGATGATTTTTTTTATTTTATTTTATTTTTAAACTTCCTTTACATATTTTGTGGGTTTCTCTCCTCTTGGAAGTTTCACTTGATTTTTTCCTTTACAGTGGTTATGTGTATTTTGATTTATGAAGGCTTTGTGTATTTTTTCCTTTACGAAGTTTCTCTCCTCTTGCAAAGGTTCCTGGCGTGAGTTTACTCTCTCTGTCAGGTTGGGGTTTTCTATTGGGTTTTCTCCCTCTTTGATCTTTTGCGGGTTTTCTATTGGGTTTATTGGGGTTTTCTATCTGTGTAAAATGTGATATGATCTGGAATTTTTTTATTGGATTTATTGGGGTCTTCAGGCTGAATTTGGGGCTTATTTTTATTTCTTGTTCTCTGAGAACAGAAACTGAACCAAATGAAAGCTTCTGAGCATTTTTTTTTCTTTTTGTTTCACCCAAACATGCAAATGAAAGCTGGACCATGCTGAGTCATTTCCACCAATTGAAAGCTTCAGAGCATTCTTTTTGTTTCTTTTTTTTTTCTTTTTGATTCACTCACAAAAAAGAAAAACAGAGTGTCCTTTGTTTATATAGATTTCAGATTTGTTTTGTTTCTATGCTAGAGTTTGATTTGTTTTTTTTAATTAATCCACATTATCATCATCACTTTGTTTAATTTAAATTTTAAAATTAAAATAAATATAAAAAAAAAAATCAGAGGATTGCTCCGCCGGACCAAAAACAAAGTGTCAGTCATATTATATAGATTTCATATTTGTTTTGTTTGTACTCAACAATCAGATTTGTTTTGTTTCTATGCTAGAGTTTGATTTGTGTTAAACCATTGAGTTTGAGCTTTAAGATTTTCTAAAAACTTTCTAAGGTTTTTTTTACAGTAAACTTTCTAAGATTTTCTATTTTTGGAATCATAAATATTCTTATAAAATTTTGAAAATATTTGTTTGAGTTTTATTTTTGTCAAATTTAAAAATAAATAAAGTCTAAAAATGAAATTAAACAGTGTGAGAGTATGGACCTGTTTCACATGGAATGGAATTAAACAGTGAGTGTAATATTTATTTTTTTGTTTGTTTCAATTTTGAGTTGAGACTTTTTTGAATCGGTATAAATATTTGTTAGTCCATAAATCAGTAGCTTTTACCAAAAAAAATCTGTCATGTTTGGTTGGTGAGAAAATGGAGGAAGTAGTTCATAAATATTTTTTAGCCTCAAATTTTTATTTTATTTAATTTTATTTTATTTTTGTTGAGTTTCCTTTGACTAATCATAGATTGCTGTGTAATTTTGAGATTCCTTTGTCTAATCATTAGTTTATTTTTTATATCTCTTTTTAAATTTTTTTTTCTTTTTATTCATTTATTTTATTTACGCCGTGCTTGAAGGCATGGGCATACACAAGCACGGGATTTTTGATCAGAGATACATTTTGTTTCAATGATTCAGATTGTTTCATCCAAAATTCAACGGTTGAGATGCCTTTCATTTCTGCCCAAAATACGCTTCAATTATCTACATTTGTTATAGAAAGACTCAAAGTATCTATAATTCTTTGAGGGCAATGAGTTGCCACTTTACTATTTAAATTTGTTTGTTCGTCTTCCATTTGTTTTCTTTTATATTTTCTTTCATTTTTGTTTATGATTTAAGATGTTTTATATGAGCGCATAGAGTTTACAAGTGGCACACAAATTTAAAGGCCAAGTCATAAAGTTGATTCCCGATTTCCCACAATACACACTGCCTAAGAAAGGCCTTGATAACCATTATTGGACCATTTTTTCTTTTTTATCAACTTTGTTTAGTTGATTTTTTTTCTTTTTGATCAGAACTTTGTTTAGTTGAATTTGAACAAGCCAAAATTGCACTATATGTTTCTTAGAGAGCACATAACATTATTTAAAGTGCAACTTTGTTTTTTGCACTAGTGGACATTGTCAACTTGTTTACCAATAACTGAGATTATATTCTTTTCTAATATGAGCTGAAGTTCAAATGTGACCAACCTCTTCAATTAGAACAAGAAGATTGATAACTTGGGTAACAAGAAGATTGATAACTTGGGTAAGAATAATAGTGATGCTATAAGAAAGGAACAATTTTCTCCAAAATTATTTTGTGAATAAATTTTCTGTGTACTATATAAAAGATTGGACAGGAGAAGATGAATCCCAATATTACACTAGTGCGTATATATATTGGGGATGGTAGGCTCTTGATTTATGCCTCTCGCTAGGTCTAGAGGCAGTGGCTTTTTCATTCCAGAACCCTAACAGGTTGGGCCAAGATGGGTTTCCTTTTTGTCTAATAGTAGCACTGACTTAGATGATTATTGTGAGGAAAAAAGCTATATTTAGAAATGATAAATTGTTTAAAAAGTAGGCTACCCTTGTGGCAAATTGTTTAAAAAGTTTCCAGAACATTGATAAATTTAGTGTGTTAATTTTGCAAAACAAGAATTTTAAACGCTGTATTAAATCCTTAATGGCAGTGGGAATTTTTTGACAATGGGATTTATTTAGGTGCTCCTGCTGTTTTAGGCACGGACAATAACCACACAAATTTGTTGGTTATTGATTCTAATATGCGTTAGTGTAGGGGAGTTCATCTGAAACTGAATCAAGGGAATGTTAGTTAACATTGATGCCAAATATTTCAGAGTTCAATGTAATAATTGTGAGCATTGCTAATGTAGGTTTTAGGTTTGTAAGGGTGATTAAAATTTGGTTGGGGATGGCTTGTGGGATAGTATTACCGGTTTTCTTTTGGTCCAGCTAAAGGTGGATCAGAATTTAACACTAGGAAATTTAGAACTACAGATAATTGGAAGAAAAGAAGAAAATAAATAAGATAAAGAATGAAATGATGTTGAGGAAGTAGGAAACTCAGGTAACCATGTATTTGGTTCCTTAAGCATTCCCAATAGTGGAGTTTTCACACTCACTAAAGAAAGCTTCTCAAGTTGTATATTCTCAATTAAACATTCCTGAAACTTCAAAACATTGAAATCTTTCATGTTCACTTGTAAACCCTATTGACTTAGTTAACGTGGACAACCTTACTAGTTCATTAGTGTAGACTGTAGTGTGTGGAAAACTCCCCTACTAGAGTAATGGGAACACTGGCATGCTATAACATTAGCCTAAGCATTAAGCACCATTCTCACAAAGCTTTTGTGATTCTAGTACCACAATCACTTTCTCTCAGTCAAAAAAATTTTTTGAAATGGCACAGGACCCTTATTTCTAGTGTTAGCGTCCTCAAACCTGTCTTCCATACTTGTCTAGGTTGATAATCATGACATCAAGAGTGCAATTTTGATGATGTGTCACAAGGAGTGGGCAAGATCATGTATGAGATGTCATGGTAAAAAACAAGAGTCACTAAATGGAAGGCCAGGGTTTCTTGTTTATGTTATTGGCAGAGGCATTGGTGAAGTTAAGTGCATTTTGGGGTTTTGCAGGTCATATTGCACATGTAGTCACCAACCAAAGTAATTGATTGCCAAAGGTCATTTGGGCACTTGTAGTGGGATGGTGGAAAGAGGTGGGGTTGAAAAGACTGTTTACAAGGTCCAATTGTACAGTTTTTTTTTCCCCCAGGATAATTGGGTATCCGGGTAAAATCCCCAATAAGAAAAGGTAGAAAAATGACCTTTTTCTTGTTTTATCTTTCCCAATGTTCCTTGCTAAGCTTTCAATCCTTTCTAAATCTTAAAATATCTTCAAATATTGCGGTTGAAACCTTGAACCTTACTTATCAAAGAGGAGGGGGAAAAAAAAGAAGGAAAGTTCTGCTGGAAAAGACAACAAAAATTCCTATAAAGTGCAAGAAATAATTCGAGTGCTTTTTTGTACTCGGCTGTTGGGAGTCCATAGCAATATGAACCTGGGCAAAGATGAGAAGGCTCGCATTGATGGTCTTGGACTCTTGCAAAAACCGTGTTAGACTATAATCTGAATATTTTGACTCTTCAATAGCTAACCAAATTTTAACAAGCTATACTACTATCAGCTTAATTTATGTCTTCTTCCGTAATCTTTTAATGATGAAATTCAACCACTATAGTTTGTTTTCCCCCCTGTACATATTTTTGACCAGAATCAACTTATTTCACCAGGTATACATATTGACATCTACAAGATGAGGAAATCCACAGCATATGAGAAGAGTTTCAGCTACAACGATGTTGTACTCAGACGATCAGATCTGGACATTCTCAGTGGTCCATATTTTCCAGTCAATCGCAACATTCAATTTTATTTCAGTTATCTTCCTTCATGTTATCCTTCCGAGGAGATCCTACTGGTTTCACCTTCAATTGCTTTGTGGATAGCAAACAGCCCAGACATCTAAAGTTTCAAGGATTTTGTAGAACCCCTTAATCTCTCTAGTAAGAAACTGGTAATCTTTCCTGTCAATGACAACGATGACGTGACAGAAGCTGAAGATGGGAACCATTGGTGCTTACTTGCGTTTGAGAGAAACACAAATGTATTCGTGCATCATGATAGTTACGGTGGACTTAATGCTGGGCATGCCAGATAGCTTTACAAAGCTATTGTTGGGTATATGGGAATCTCCGATATGGCATCAGCTTGTAAATATGTTGAGAGCTCTAATACCCCACAGCAAGTGAATGGCTACAATTGCATTCTATACGTTGCAGCTATTGCGAAAGCTATATACAGCTGGTATGAAAGCAAAAGTGAACCAAATGATGAAGATGGGTTGTGGTTTTCTACGATGAATGAGCAAGTTAATCCGTCTGTTGTTGACGAGATGCGCACAGTAATTTTGGGGCCAGTAAAAAGCTTAATGCCGTGAATTGAAAATCTTGAATTGCATTGGTGTTAGTTCAAGATTCAAGAATTGCAAGTCTTTTTTTCCTGTGACTGTTAGAATAGATTATAGATTTTAACTTAAAAGATTATAGTTTATAATTGGATTATAAATTTAAGTTTCAGAGAGTAGGGTTTGTTTGTAATTGTCTTTTTTCACCCTTATTAGTTGTAGAGATTAAAGAATAGAAGAAAAATGAGGGATGGACCCTTTATACAAGAGCATGATGGTAATATTTGAAAAAAGAGGAGATATTTAAGTGAATTTTCAATGGAAAACAGCTTTTGTAAGCCAAAAACTATGCTAACCTGCCTTTTCAAATCCACTTGTAATTTGATCTTAAATTAACTGAAATAAGCTTATGTTGTTTCACCATAAACTACAAGATACTTGTTATTTTGGCTTGTCTCGAGACTCTCTATAATGGTTGTGTTGGAATCAAATGTTTTGATCCTCTTGTTCTGCTACACTGAAGATAGGGAACAAAAAAACGAACGGTTGAGTTTTTAAAAAGCATTCATTATTATTATTTTTTCTTTGGTCAAAAAAACTATAAATTAGTTTGATGAAAAAAATAAAAAAATAAAAAATGAAAAATACTCACCATTTTTACATAATTTTATTTGTTTTGGGGAAAATTAATTATTTTGGTCAAACTAGTTTTTATTTTTTAAAGAAAAAAAAAACCAAATACATCTATATTTTATAACGAAAATATATGTGAATATTGATGCTATTTATTCATTATCATCCTTAGGTAGACAGTTTCAACAATTCATAAGAATGTTGAACACAGTTATTCGCATTCCCAAAAACACTTGTGGATTGTTTGTTTTATAAGTTCATTTAGCATATCATATGCAGCGCAAAAATGGAGGAGAATCTAATTGTCATGACCAATTTTGTTTCCAAAAGTCATCAAAATACCTAGAATAAAAGCATGAATTTTGAGGAACTAAACTGTTTTGAGAGTAATCATATAGTACAAGCTTACTAGTACAAAAACAGAGCCCACATTTGTTCCTCTTTGTTTATACAATCTAATATGAAGAAGAAAATGAAAAATCAATCAAACAAATGCACCTTGAAAAGTGAATAGTACAACTAAGGTTTTGACTGATGTTTCAGAATGTTATAAGAACACAATCTACATAACCCATCTAAGGTGTGAGATGTTGATTAGAATCTCTACTTCCAACAGTGCACAAACATCTCTAATTGCTGTACATATTTGTCATTGAGACCAAAAATAAAATTAGGTCTCTTGGCCCAAAAAAACCTTCCATGAGCCCTGGATTATCACAAAATCTAATAAAAACAAAAAGACAAAAGCAAAACTTTACAAGTTACTCATTCGGACAGCTTTACAATCAAAAGTTAGACATTACGCACTACTTGCAAAAGCTGGTTACAGATGTGTAGAAATGTAATCCAGAAAACACAAAAAGGAAGACAAAAAGATTATTAGCCATAGTCAGCCAGTCAACTATATAATACTCTTCTAGTTAGTTCCTGCCATAAATCAGTTAGCAATAGATACACTCGGACGATTTTTATGACGTAAAGCTTCATTTACCTTATAGCTTAGCAATAGTTTTAGCTTCATAGAGAAAAGTGTTTTTAACATATCAACATTCATTACAAAATCAAAATTAGTTGGAGCACTTGTCACGCCCCGGGTAAAACCAAAGACAATCCTCACTTGGGGCACATTAGTTTTTTGAGCCAAGCTCAATCAGCCTACAACTTTGGAGTCACTATGCAAGGAGCTCATCATTTTAAATAAGTTTGGGAGACTCAATATCTAAATGGATTGCTAACAACCATACATCTGCTTCTTAGAAGAGATAAATGAAAAATAATTAGAGTGTAATCATATAAATCTAACCACATAATTTTTTTTTTTCCCACAAGATCAAATTATTTAATTTCAACCATTGAGCATTCCTCTAGTTTTGGACCTGTTGTGGGCGAGGACGTGCTCTAATTCTCTGGTGGTTTTCAGACCCAAGTTCATAAGTTTGAAGGTTCACCACACAAAAATCATAGTTGTCAGGCCAATAATAGATGCAGAAATTGTGCAAAGAGGACTAATGCAAAATTATTTAGATTTTAGATGAATTGAAAGTTTATATAGATTTTGGAAATCAAAATATTTATTTATTTTACAAAAACTAAAAATGACATGAAAGTGATGAGATTTTTCAAATGTTTGGAGTGACTAAAATACTAAATTATTTTATAGTTACTAAAAAGTGCATGAAAGTGATGAAAATTTTCAAAATTTAAAAGTAAAATTATTTAGATTTTGGAGGGGCTAGAGTAAAATTATTTATATTTTGAAAGGGCCAAAATGCGAACTTCATTTATAAATATTCAAAATTACACATTACACACCATGAATAAAATTTCAGTTAGTTAATATTCAGAAACACCATGCAATAGAAAAAAACATTGTGTCCCAAAAAGATTCAGTAATGTTTCAACTATTTATACTCCGGCAGGCATACCAGATAGGATAAAAAGGGTAACAGCAACAGATACAAACATTTTTCTGGTTGTATGTGCCATACTGCCAATGAGGGTTGGCATGTAAAGTTGAGTGATACTCACCATCAGCATTCTTCCTTTAATCCCTAATACTCGGATTTCACGACAAGATCCACCTTCATCCTCACTCACCCTTGTATAAATGTTTTCCCGCTTCAGTATTTCATAAGCTTCAAAAGTCAATACAATCTGCACATGAAAAGTCAACCAAAATGGTTCCACAATCAACAACTTATCCAGAAAAATCATAATAATAGTGACGATGATGATGAGAGAGAGATTTTTGAAAAATGCTACTAGGAAAAAATCAAATCAGATTGCCAAAACTATTCTCTCTTTACCCTTTTACAGAACAATAATAATACAATCATAGATCCCACCCCATCCGGATAGATACATTTTTTTTTTTATCGACAACAAAAGAAATTTCATCAATAAATAGAAGAAGACACTTTCATGACGAGAAATTTAGATGTTTGACTTAAAAAAAGAAGCCTACCCAGGGGGAAAAATAGTGTAAGGGGACTGCCAATAAAATTTAATGGATGCTTAACTAAAAAATGAGCACCCAGAAGCACAGCCATCAAAACTACTCATCTTTGCAGACTACTCAGTCATCCCATGTAGGCAGCCCATCCAATCCAGCTTCAGCTGCTGCAGACAACTGTAGTGCAGAGCCCTTGCCCCAGGGCTTGGTTTTCTCTCTCTTCACAGGGGAGCTAACTAACCCACTAAAGGTATTGACATCCTGAACAGCTTTTTCATCCCTGCTTCCACCACTGTTCTCAGCATTCTCACCAGTAATAGCAAAAAGGTCTGCAAATGGAGTTTCTCCATCATCAATGACATTAGCTTCATTTCGCTTCACCCTTTTCAAATTTCTTTTCAGTTCCTTCTCAATGATAGTACTATCCTCCTTATGGTTCACTAGTTCTACCTTTAGGATTTCAGTTGTTTTATCTTTTCTGCGCTTCGATTCCTTCTTCACACTAGGATCTGTAGGTCGAGTCTCTTCATCGTCAATGACATTGACTTCATTTTCTTGCACCTCCTTCAACTTTTTCTTCAATTTCTTGTCAGTTTTAGTACTAATTTCTTTTTGGTCTGAATCTTTTTCTTTAGGGAGTACCGTGGATTTCTGTTTTTTATGCTTCAATCCTCTCTCCATGTCAACATCCCTAGCAGTATCACGCTGATCATCGTTGCTTTGACTCATCACATTACGTTTGCGGTTCTTGTTTCTCATGCTGTAATCTATTTTCTCTTCTTTTTGAGCCCCTTGCTTGTTATCAACATTAACTGAAGAATCATGAACTCCATCATCTGTGTCACCCTTCTCATTCTTTGCGCTTTTGTCTATTGGTCTCGAGTTGAATATCTGTAAATTTGGCACTAGCTTTCTGATCTGCAGTTGCATTGTTACCAGAATGGTCATTTAGGAGTGGAAACAAGAATAAGGAAATGTATATATCAGCAGAAAAATAAGAAAGAAAGAACCATAACCTTTTTTGCTAACTTGTCTTTTTCAGCAATAGGATTGCCTTGTAAATTTAGGTTTTTCAGGTTAACCAATGAAGACAGCACCTACCAGCATAAAGCCACGACAAATAATAAGAAATGCTCCAAACAAATATAGGCAAGATCAGCAAAGATCATAAAAATTTTACTCCAATAGCTCACCTTCAGGTCTGACCAACTTGTGATCAAATTGTTTCCCACGTCCAAAAGCAGAAGTTTTGAACTATGGACCAACTCAGATGGGAGGGTCTGAGCAGTTGGAAAGAAAAGAAAGCATAAGTATTGATCAAATTAATACTACAAAAGAAAAAAGAAAAATGGGAAGATTTAAAATGACTTGGAAAAAAACATAATTGAGTCGCAAAGTTGAAGGTCAAAAGCAACAGAGCATAGAGGAGATTGCATTCAAGCATAGCATGGTTTTGCAAAACTGAGAAAGCAGAACATATATATACCTTGATATCATTGTGAGCAAGTCGGAGCTCTTTCAACTCAGTGCACGACTTTAGTGAATCAATGGCTTGAAGTTGGCAATTAGATAGAGAGAGCTGGAATCATGAATAAGTTACAATCCTAGCACTAAAAGGGTAAACTGATGTTGAAGCTTGCCATTTATAAGTGCTTACCTTCGTGATTGATTTCACCTTGACCAGAGACTCTCCAAGTTTATTGATTGGATTTCTAGAAAGAACTGAAAAGTATACAGAACCCAAAAAAAGAACTCAAACTCAAAAAGTAAACATTTACCTACAATGTATAGTGTAAGAACTACTCTCATAAAGAACGAGATGCTTCATTATTAAATTATAATCACAACCAAGATTTGTTTAATAAAACGACTATACATGTTCAGAAATTCTCATTCTTTTCATACTCTAGTCTAGTCACATACACCTAGAAATAACAGGACTTGACAAAGAATAAAGGTGCATCCTGTGCAAGCTTGGTTTTTTAAATTAAAAAAGAAAAGACTAATTAAAAGAAAATTAGTTCCATTTCCGATTTCTCATAAGTGTATTTTTTGTCTTTTTATAAAAAAATGTGTAGAAAAATAAAGAGATGATGTGATGAAAAAAAGATAAAAAAATAAAAACATAAATTATTTTGGTATTACCAAGCTTGGCCTTAACAAAAAGTTAAAAACTCAAATGTAGTTCGTCGCGTCAACCAAAATCCGAAAAGTAAAAGACCCAAATGTAGTTCGTCAGGAAATGTCTCAATTGTCCCCAAGTCCATTAAAATAGTACAGGTCGCAACTCTATAAATAAATAAAGGTCATCTTTCTGGTATTACCATTCTTTTCTAACATACCACACCACTCATATAAAGAGGCTCTTTCTAACTTAAGTTCGAGTTCATCCAATATGGCCGATGTAATTGGAGAGACTGCAAAAGAAGTTTTGGTTAATTGCATGTTGAAACCAGCTTTGTGCAAATTGAATTTTGAAATTATCCAACACTTTTTTGTTCAACGTCAAAATTTCAATCCTAGGGGTGGGATTATGATTGCCTTCTTTGTGCTACTGCTTCTGCTTGTGCTTGTGATTGTGCTACGTAAGAACATATATAAATTCCTTTTTACTTTTTTATTGACATTCAATTGAAAGTATTAATCTATTGATGATTAATAATATATATATACATATATATATATATATATATATCAAAGACGATTAATATTTTGACTTATATATTATTTCAGGATTGTTATGAGCAAGTTGAAGAATTCCATCAACAGGCAGCAATGAAATACAAGTGGTGTTTTACTTTTATTTTTTATAGATTGTAAAAGTGATATAAGTTAGTGGAGTTTATGTCCAAAGAAGCAAAAAGAATAGTCAGTTCAAAACTTATTTAAGTTATTATATTGAGAATAAATTCTCTTCCTACTATTGTTTTTCATATTTTTTAATATTATATTTCATGAATCTTATTTTAAGGTTATAATTTAACAGCTTATTACATAAATTTCGTAATAAAGATCAACAATATAAAAAATTAATTTAATTATATCAAATATACATAAAAAGTAATGATTGAGATCTTCATTTTTACGTGACCTCACAAATTTAGATCATTCATAATATAAATTCAACACATAGTTCAATTGTTTATTTTTGACCGTCGGATGTATTGTATTTAGATCATCATTTACCGTCGGATCAAAACCAGAATTTTTTATTTATTTTTTTTTTTTGAGCAAGAAAACGCCAGCCGACTTACAAAAAGAATCCAAAGATAAAATAGTCCTAAGCTTCGGAGGAGGATGGACAACCCAGTCGAGGGGAAGCCTGCCTTTCAAATTGCAAGAGGCTACCCAGAATCTGAAAATACCAGTTTTCTCTCTAAATTCTCTCGGCCCAAAAACCAGTCTCTCTTCCATTATCAACAAAATTGATCATATCTAATCGATTTCGTCTCTTTGAAAATCCTAGCTCTCTCTCTCTCATGATCTCACCGACTCTCTGTACAGCTATGTGGTCTTCTTGCCGACAAAGATGGTGCGCTCTCTCTCTCTCTCTCTCTCTCTCTCTCAAGATTGTATTTCTGTGACGGAGTTTTAGTGGTCCACCCTCTCAGATTGAGTTTTGATCCTTTGTTGAGTTTGTTATTCTGGGTCGTATTTTGTTTGTTGATTCAGAGAAGCTACTTCACGTACACCACATAGAAGATAACAGACCATGGATAATCTCAAATTTGGTTATTTTTATTTTTATTTTTTTGGTTGTTGTTGTTGTAGTTTTTCCATATTATTTACTAGATCTACAAAATTGTGCCATTAGGGAACGTACAGAATAATTAATAGTTATTATTTGGATCTCCCTGATTCAATAAGGTCGTAAATTTTTGTTAAATAAAGTGTTCTTCATCTCAGTGTTCTGATTTCATATCCCAAATTCCCAATATCCAACTGTTATGTTGCACTATCATCGTATTACGCAGACGGAAAGGGGTAATTTTTTTTTCTTTAATCAGAAAAGAAAGGAGTGATATAGGAGAAGTTATTTGCTGGTCTTGGGGCATGGCCACGTAGGGCCACATAGGCTTGTTGTGATTGGTAGAGATGGTGGGATTCACGTGTTTGTGTCGGCATGTTTGTGTTGGGTGATTGGGAACATGAGCGGCATGGTGAATTTTGATTGGCCACCAACAAATAATTTTTCATTATATAGGGCTCACATGTAGCTGATGTATCTGATAGTCAATGGATGTCCGTAAACCCAAACAATTTTTTTGGTAATACTAGTTTTCATGGTTTGTGATTTGTTTCTAGGCTTGTGGTTGTATTGTTATTTTTTCAAGTATGTGTGATTGCATGATTTTATTGAGAAAACCAAATTAGAGAGACATTACAGTTGAATTTAATGATGTGGACATATTATAGCATTAGCAAAGCATAAGACTTGGCAATGCTTGGGAATGCATTAACACATAAAGGAGCCGCGATTTCTGGCAGCACTCTTGTGATTCCTGGCTTTAATTCAAACAGGAAAAAGTTACCTAATTCTTTTCTTCGTTCTGTTTGGATGCTAAGAAATTGTCGGAAAAAGGAATAGAAACTAGCTGTATGTATGTTTGGTTATCAATCCATTTCTAATCGATTCCTTTTTATTCTACTACTTTCAACTGTCTGAATGATCAAACAGAGCGTAAATTTATATATTATTTGGATGATTTGGACTTTTTTCACCAGAAATTTGAAAGTATATGTTTAGAGACCCATCTAGTTGGTCGCATGCCTCACCTTCATTTGCAACTAGGTTTAACTTTCCATTGAAGTTTTGAACTACTTTATATTTATGCTGCAGAAAAAAAATTTCATAAAGAATATATGCATATATATATTGGGGATGGTGGGCTCTTGATTTATGCCTCTTGCTAGGTTTAGAGGCAGTGGCTTTTTTTATTCCAGAACCCTAACAGGTTGGGCCAAGATGGGTTTTCTTTTTGTCTAATAGTAGCACTGACTTTGATGATTGTAAGTTATTGTGAGGAAAATGCAATATTTAGAAATCCTGTCAAACTAATGGCAAATTGTTTAAAAAGTTTCCAGAACATTGATAAATTTGGTATGTTAATTTTGCAAAACAAGTTCATAAGCTTTATTAAATCCTTATGACAGTGGGAATTTTTTGACAATGGGATTTATTTAGGTGCTCCTGCTGTTTTAGGCATGGACAATAACCACACAACTTTGTTGGTTAGTGCTAATGTTTGTTAGTGTAGGGGAGTTGATCTGAAACTGAATCAAGGGAATGTTAGTTACCATTGATGCCAAATATTTCAGAGTCCAATGTAATAATTGTGAGCATTGCTAATGTTTGTAAGGGTGATTAAAATTTGGTTGGGGATGGCTTGTGGGTTAGTATTAATGGTTTTCTTCTAGTCCAGCTAAATGTGGATCAGAATTTAACACTAGGAAATTTAGAACTATTGATAATTGGAAGAAAAGAAGAAAAAAAATACGATAAAGAACGAAATGATGTTGAGGAAGTAGGAAACTGAGGTAACCATATATTTGGTTCCTTAAGCATTCCCAATGGCGGAGTTAAGGTTATCACACTTACTAAAGAAAGCTTCACAAGTTGTATATTCTCAATTAAACATTCCTGAAACTACAAAAAAGGTAATTGAAATCTTTCATGTTCACTTGTAAACCCTATTGACTTAGTTAATGCGAACAACCTTACTGGTTCATTGTTGTAGACGGTAGTGTGTGGAAAACTCCCCCTACTAGAGTAATGGGAACACTGGCGTGCTATAATATTAGCCTAAGCATTAGGCACCATTTTATCTCACAAAGCTTTTGCGATTCTTGTACCGCAATTATTTTCTCTCGGTCAAAAAAAAAAAAAAAAATCTTTAAATGGCACAGGACCATTAATTCTAGTGTTAGCCTCCTAAAACCTGCCTTCCATTCTTGTCTAGGTTGATAATCATGACATCAAGAGTGGAATTTTGATGATGTTTCACAAGGAGTGGGCAAGATCATGTATGAGATGTCATGGTAGAAAACAAGAGTCACTAAATGGAACGCCAGGGTTTCTTGCTCATGTTATTGGCAGAGGTATTGATGATGTTAAGTGCATTTTGGGGTTTTCCAGGTCATATTGATGGCATAAATGCACAGGGGGTAGCAGGGTCACCAAGTGGAAATTGTCCTTGGCACATGTAGTCACTAACCAAAGTAATTGATTGCCAAAGGTCATTTGGGCACTTCTTGTGGGATGGTGGAAAGAGGTGGAGTTGAAAAGACTGTTTAAAGGTCCAATTGTACAGTTTTTTTTTCCCCCCCGGGATAATTGGTTATCCAGGTAAAACCCCAATAAGAAAAGGTAGAAAAATGACCTTTTTCTTGTTTTATCTTTCCAAATGTTCCTTGCTAAGCTTTCAATCCTTTCTAAATCTTAAAATATCTTCAAATATTGTGGTTGAAACCTTGAACCTTATCAAAAAGGAGGGGGAAAAAAAAGAAGGAAAGTTCTGCTGGAAAAGACAACAAAAATTCCTATGAAGTGCAAGAAAATAGCTCGAGTCTTTTTTGTACTTGGCTGTCGTCAGTCCATACTATTGCTGAAATTTATCTTGCAATATGAACCTAGGCAAAGGTGAGAAGACTGGCATTGATGGTCTTGGACTCTTGGCAAAAATCGTGTTGGACTATAATCTGCATATTTTGACTCTTCGATATCTTGCCAAATTTCAACAAACTATACTACTATCTGCTTTATTTGTCTTCTTCCATAATCATTTAGTTATGAAATTCAGCCACTACAGTTTTTTTTCCCCCTGTACATATTTTTTACCAAAATCAACTTATTTCACTAGGTAAACATATTGACATCTACAAGATGAGGAAATCCGCAGCAGATGAGAAGATTCTCAGCTACAACGTTGTTGTACTCAGACGATCAGATCTGGACATTCTCAGCGGTCCATATTTTCTAAACGATCGCATCATTGAATTTTATTTCAGTTACCTTCCTTCATGTTATCCTTCCAAGGAGATCCTACTGGTTTCACCTTCAATTGCTTTCTGGATAGCAAACTGGCCAGACATCGAAAGCCTCAAGGATTTTGTAGAACCCCTTAATCTCTCTAGTAAGAAACTGGTAATTTTCCTGTCAATAACAATGATGACGTGACAATGCTCTCAAAGCTGTCCTCACCAGCCTTGAACATCTATTTAAAGGTTTCAAGTATTGCAACTCCAATTTCTATGGCTGGCTTGAAGATAGAATTAATAATCCCTGTAAGTATGGTATGTATATATTCCCTATATCTCAATTCCTCGAATTCATCCTTTATTCTTCTAGGAATAATGTTATATAAATTAATAAATTTTACAAATTTGTATTACTTGCATGAATTGTCTCTATCACATATAAACATGGTAAAGATCATGAAGTTGAAAATGTCATGTGCTATTTAGGTAATTGGGTTTTATTTAGAAATGTCGAGTATTTAGAAGAAAAAAAATACTTAGAAAATGTACTCAGAATTTGAATGTATTATACATTTAAACTTGGGTCACAACGAAAATAAATCTAGTTTACATATTTGAAATTTTAGAACTTTTCTAAATATATTTTCTCAATATGTAACAGAGTTTCATTCGATGCTTCTATCTAGTAGAATTGCTATATGGCATCCGCTTGTAAATATGTTGAGTACTCTAAAACCCCACAGCAAGTGAATGGCTATGATTGTGGTCTATACATTGCAGCTATTGTGAAAGCTATATGCAGATGGTATGAAAGCAAAAGTGAACCGAAAGATGAAGATGGGTTGTGGTTTTCTACGATGAATGAGCAGGTTAATCCACCTGTTGTTGCCGAGATGCGCAACGAGATTTTGGGGCTAGTAAAAAGCTTAATGGCCATGAAGTGAAAATCTTGAATTGCATTTGGTGTCAGTTCAAAGATTCAGGAATTGCAAATCTTTTTTTTCCTGTGACTGTTAGAATAGATTGTAGATTTTAACTTAATAGATTATAGTTTATAGTTGGATTATAAATTTAAGTTTAGTGTTTGTTTAAGTATGTTAGAAAATGACTTTTTTGTTGTGTAGTTGTCGTTTTTACCCTTATTAGTTTTTGAGATTCGGGAATAGACGAAAAATAAGAGATGTACCCTGTATACAAGAGCGTGATGGTAATATTTGTAAAAAAGAGGAGATATTTAAGTGAATTTTCAATGGTAAACAGCTTCTGTAAGCAACAAGCCTACTAACCTGCCTTTTCAAATCCACTTGTAATTGGATCTTAAATTAACTGAAATAAGCTCATGTTGTTTCACCATAAGCTACAACATACATGTTATTTTGGCTTGTCTCGAGACTCTCAGTCACGGTTATATTGGAATCAAATGTTTTGATCTTCTTATCGAACGGTTGAGTTTTTAAAAAGTATTTATTATTATTATTGTTTCTTTGGTCAAAAAATTTATAAATTAGTTTGATGAAAAAACAAAAAATAAAAAACACTCATCATTTTTATATAAATTTATTTGTTTTGGGGAAAATTAATTATTTTAGTCAAACTAGTTTTTATTTTTTAAAGAAAAAAAATAAAAAACAAATTGCTACATCTATATTTTATAACGAAAATATATGTGAATATTGATGTTATTTATTCATTATCATCCTTAGGCAGACAGTTTCAACAGTTCACATGGATGTTGAACATAATTATTCACATTCCAAAAAAAAACTTATGGATGGTTTGCTTTGTAAGTTCATTCAGCATATCAGAGCAAAAATGGTGGGGAATCTAATTGCCGTGACCAATTTTGTTTCCAAAAGTCATCAAAATACCTCATGTAGAAGCATGAATTTTGAGAAACTAAACTGTTTTGAGAGTAATCATATAGTACAAGCTTACTAGTACAAAAACAGAGCCCACATTTGTTTCCCTTCGTTTATACAATCTAATATGAAGAAGAAAAATGAAAAATCAATAAAACAAATGCACCTTGAACAATGAATAGTACAACCTTAGTTTTGACTGAAGTTTCAGTGAGAACACAATCTACATACCCATCTAAGGTGTGAGATGTTGATTAGAATCTCTACTTCCAGCAGTGCACAAACATCTCTAATTTCTGTACATATTTGTCGTTGAGACCAAAAACAAAATTAGGATGTCTCTTTGGCCCAAAAAAACCTTCCATGAGCCCAGCATTATCACAAAATCTAATAAAAACAAAAAGACAAAAACAAAACTTTACAAGTTACTCATTCGGACAGCTTTACGATCAAAAGTTACACATTACGCACAACTTGCAAAAACAGGTTACAGATGTCTAGAAATGTAATCCAAAAAACACAGAAAGGAAGACAAAAAGATTATTAGTTGTAGCCAACCAGTCAACTATATAATACTCTTCTAGCTAGTTCCTGCCCTAAATCAGTTAGCAATAGATACACTCGGACGATTTTTATGGCATAAAGCTTCATTTACCTTATAGCTTAGCAATAGTTTTAGCTTCATAGAGAAAAGTGCTTTTAATATATCAACATTCGTTACAAAACCAAAATTAGTTGGAGCACTTGTCACGCCCTGGGTAAAACCAAAGACAATCCTCACTTGGAGCACATTAGTTTTTTCAGCCAAGCTCAATCAGCCTATAACTTTGGAGTCACTTGGCAAGGAGCTCATCATTTTAAATAAGTTTGGGAGACTCAATATCTAAATGGATTGCTAACAGCCATACATCTGCTTAGATAAGTACTACAGAGTTATCAGGCCTTGTAAAACTTCCAATCATTTTAACACAACTTCTTTCTAATACAAAATGACAAAATCGATTCTCTGTGAAAATTTACTTTGCCTAATTGAAGATAAATATTGGATTCTTACCCAGGGCTTCAGCATCATTCATGACATGCTAATGTCCGCTGGGTAACTCCCCAGCACTCTCAAGAATGTAGCAATCTCCTGCCAAAGGAATACATCTTCCTATATCATCTACAGCTAAAATTTATATTTCAAAGCTGAATGATAATAAAACCGACTACACCTTTAGATGCCCAAGAGCATTCTGTGCTTTCTGGTCAGCCATTGATGCTTCAAAATCCACATAGAATAGATAAGGGAAGCGCCTGTACAAGTATATCAAATGCATCAAGCAAATAGAAGAGCAAAACAGTGTGTGGAAACCAATACAATCATGAAAGTGTCAAATGCATAAAAATGCAAGAGACAAATTAGACAAGATATTTACTTTGGAAATCCATTATTGTTATCGTCTAGCATTTGCAAGGCCTGCTTCTGCAGTGGGCGACTTTCAATCTGGTTCAACAACAAAAAAACAACAAAGGCTGTCAGCACGGCTGTATCCAATTGGGATGCCCTGGATCTGGCATGTCTCTTGGGAGGAGTAACATGAAACTCAGAATTATGGATGTATTCAACACTCCCAAATAAAAAAGGGTATTGATCTATGATTGATTTTGTAACAAATTCATGGATATAGTTGTACCTTGTAAAAATTTATAGTTGTACCTCATAAAACGACTTCTTTCTTTTGTCTTTTGTGGAATTATTCCTTTCTTTTAGAAAGAAATTCATGGATATATTTATTTCCGTTCAAAACAGATCTGATATTCGTATATCGGGTCTTTTAGAGAGTTCCTTTTAGATTATATCCATTTCCGTTCAAAACAGATCCGATATTTGTATATCGGGTCTTTTAGAGTCTCTTTTAGATTTCCTTGTCTTTGTTTATGTTTCGGGGTGGAACAAATTATTCTAATTTGTCTCCACCAACGGATTAGTCGACATTTTTCACAAATTTTACGAATAGAAGCTCTTATTTTCATCAAACCAATAAGAAGAGACAACAAAAATTCCCGACGAAGGAGCATAACTTAGTTAAGTTAATGTCTCTCATTGCAAAAACAGCAAGTGCCTTGAAAAGCATTCCAGGACCTTCCTCCAGCGAGAAAACTATACTTGTCTAAAAGAATAACAACAATTGTTAGTGAAACATACCCACTGAAAATTTTTAGAAACTCGAACATTTTAAAGCAGATATGGAATAGAATCATGGTAGGTTATCTTGCTCAATTACCAGTGATTCGTAAAGTGAGAGGCTTACCTTGAATAGCCTATCGGTGCCAGGAATTATAGGTTCTCTTGCAAGAACTAGAAATCGAGTGACATTATCGGAGTCATCCTATTGAAGAGAAAGCATTATTGACTTGATGCAATCATAATATCAACAACGAAGGAAAGTTCATAACTAAACCAGTAATAGCAACCTGAATATCTTCAGCAAGTATATTCATTCCGTAGATCCTTGCAGCAGTAGAGCTAGCAACTGCTCCTGTGTCGTTTAGTTTGTGGAAAGCAACAAACTATAGACATGAAGAAAATTTAGGTTACAGTCATAGACAAACCATAATTAGTTCCAAAAGTGTAGAGATTATCAAGAGAAGTTTTACAAACATAAGTCTATGACCAAAAAATGATTCATATATATTCATTCAGGCTAGTCCAAGTTAAGTGGCCTGGGAGGCCTTCTATGCAAGACTACCAATGGTGGTATCCAAGACTTGGAGAGGCTAACAAACAGTTGGCTAACTGCCAATTTTTACCTACCTTTGCTGCACCAGCAGTATCATCCACAGCTTCCCTGACCATTCCCAACCTTGTTAGTGTGTTCTCACACTGAGCAAGAGCCTGAAATATTATCAAGTCTCAAATAAAATTCTTGATGTACAACAGCAATAAAAGCGATTATGAGAATAATACCAAACCTGTGGATGGCTTAGAACCCTCTTAAGGTCTTGAACTTTAACGCCATGGTTAGCTAGTAAACAATGCCTGATTGCAAGTTTCACTTCCCCAACTATATGCAACCTGTGCCGAAGTAAAAGGTCATAATTTCTGTGGATGCTTCCCCCCAGCGAATTCTCAATTGGTAAAACTGCTCTATCTACAAGCCACCGTTCAACGGCCTGCAACCAGAATAACAAAGAAGAATAAAAACCTTTTTAGTCCATCTATAACGAAGACCTGTAATGAAGACAAAGATGTGGGCAGCGGTGTGTATTAAAAGCTGAAATTATGATCCCAGCATGGCTAGAAGTTACAAACAATGCTTCTTACAACACAATCCTCTACCACACAGTATCTGTATGTATTAAAAAAATGAAACATGGAAACGTATGAGTTTGAGAAGCATAGAAACAGAAAAGTGCAGAACTTAGCACTTCAACTAGTTCAAGATGTGGAGGCTTAATAGCACACAATGAGAATCTATTTAATTTTTACGGAAGCAAAGAAAAACAATGCGATAAAGAGGGCATCTTCTGTTGATAATTTTGGAAAATCATTACATCCCTTGCTTGCCTCTTCAAAACCTCAGATCAGAAGCTGCACGCGAAATCCTTAAAAAAAAAAAAATTCTTTCATCCCAATGCATTGTAGATTCAAATTATTTCTATATGTTAACCATACAAATTGGCAAATTTGTGTCATAAAATTCTGTTTCACTGTCCAATATCACACAGTAATATACCCAAAGGATAAAATGGTTCAGGCAAGCTAGCTCAACTTAAGAGCTTAGAACTTGTCAAGCAGTTAGTATTCCTTCTCCATTGCTCCCAGCACAAGCTTAAGAAATTGCTACTGTGTTACTGCTTAATATAGAAATGTAAAACCTATTTTTTAAGACAGAGGAGCAGTTCCAGTCCTAAAACTTCAAATGAATTTATTTGAACACTGGGATTCACATTAGTCAAAGATCGAAACTTTGTTTTAAGCCCTAGGCAACTCGTTAAACTTAACAAATAGTTAGTATAAACTTAGCTGAATCAACTTATGCTGTTAACAATCTAAAGATTAGGTGAGACAATCAACAAGCAATACACTTTACACATGGAACTGCCCTTACTGTGCTCTATAAACCTCAAATATATGCGTTAATGGCAGAAAATACCGTTAAAAATTAGCAAAGCAAACCACACACACAATTCAAGGCATACAAATCCATATTTCATGCACAATCAGTATTACAAATTGTAATCAAATGCTTATAGCCCTTACTTCGAAAGCAGTATCGAACTGTTCGCAAGGAACTGCTTCGCAATTGGGATATGCCTTCTCGGCCGCAGTCTCACTGTATGCCCCATGAACCCCCTATATATGCAATAAGGAACAAATAATAGTAAAAAAAACACAACTTTAGTAGTGAAATCACGAATCAAAATCAAGTGCATGTGATCTGTAACACAAATTCAAGTAATAAATGACAAACCTGGTAAGCAACACGAAGGCGAGAGCCATCAGAGACGGAATTCGAGAAATAGGTCGAAGTTAAAGGCCCTGCAATTCAAAGATCACATTCAAAACCCTAAAAAAGAAAGTTCGATTGAAAATTCGATCACAGGGGAGATCTAAAAGGTCATTACTTGGAAGTGAATTCGAGTCTTTGGAGTTCAATTCGTATGGAAAGTCTTCGAGAAGACTCTGAAGCTCTATGGAGTTCTTGTTCTTGCCTTCAATGGCGTTGTGTGATTCGTCGTCTCTGTTGTCTCGCCGGAGAGTAGCCAGAACGGCCAAAGTACGACGCCGCTCGGAGCGAGGTATCGTAGGGTTGAAGTTTGAGATCACTCTTTGATCGGACCGCCAGGGTTTGGGATTGATTCGGTTGCGAAGAGGAGTCGCCGGGGCTCGTGATGTGGTGGTCGCCGCCATTGTTGGCCGAGCTTCGTCGAGAGAGTGGCGGTTTAAACAGCTGTATAATGGGTTGTTTGTTTGCTCCGAATTTTATTTATTTATTTATTTATTATCGAATTTTTTTTCATAAAAATATTGAATAAACAAATAAATTTCCTAATTTTAAAATTAGTCATTTTCCCCAATTTTCTAGTTGATTGGTCACCAAACATTAAAAAATAGTTTTTTTATTTTTATTTTTAGATAGCATCATTAAAAAATAAAAAATGTTAAATACCCTAAAAATTATACCAAAATTTTTACTAAATGTCTTATTTGGGTGTAGGACTCACACATGATCTATATTGTATGAGTGTCACACCTATATGAGATATTTGATAGAAATTTTGGTAGAATTTTTGGGATTTCTAATATTACTCTTAAAAAATAGTTAGAAATCACATATTGATATTTAGGAGATTTATTTTTTCAAGTACTTGTATTTCAATTAGTCTATAATATATTCTTATATTTTCATAAGTCATTTTATTTGAATATTTGATTTACCAAATTCTAATTATCATATTTAAAATATTTTATGAACAATTTTATTCTTATAAATATTTTTTGAACGGCTAGTAACTAATGTGAATAGTCATATTGACGTGTGAATGTTCACATTGACGGTGTGAATATTTACACTGGCAATGTGAACATTCACGTTGTCAATGTAAATATTATTATTATGAGTATTTTGGTGATTATGTTACCAATAGAACTTCTTGAAAAATAAGAAAATAATTTATACTAAATGAAATATAAGTAAATGGAGAGATTTATGAATAAGTTTTCATGATATTTTTGAATAAAATTCAAAATAAAAATTGTAAGTATTTAATATTATTGTATGTTTTATTACTTTCTTATGAAAGCAATATTTAATGGTCATCTTTATAAAAACAAAGAAATAAATAAAATTGAAATAATCACTTTAATCTACTCCACATATGGTAAAAAATATCAAGTGTATTGAATTTTTACTGTAAATTTTGTTTGGTATGGTTATTTTTCTTGCGTGCAAAATCAGTTTTTAAAAATTAAAAAACATTTTTTGGTGTTTATTTTTGCTAAATTAATTTTTAATCGCATAATTAGATTATAAATATCTTATAAAATTAAATAATAAATATAATTTTCAAAATAAGTCATCTGACCAATTTTATTTGGTCATAAATTATCTTTTAACAAATCTTACAAAATAAACGATTCAAAAAATTTGAAGTTGGGCCTTGTATAATTAAATGAAAAATTATGTACAAGCTCATTTTCTAGATATAATGATGTGTAAGTGAGATGATTAATTAATAATTAAAGAAAAATATAAGAGAGAGTTTGCTTTATATATTCTAATAGACAATTGTATCATTAAGTTTGAAAAATGAATATAATTTTTGGGACTAAGTATTGATAAGTTTTTTAAGGTAAGGTGAATTAAGAAAATTTTGATGGACATGTGTTTTGTAAAGACATGGGTCCAGCCCATGAACCATTTGAAAGAAGACAATTAGAAAGATATTTGCATTGGAAGCTAGTTGATGATGGAAGAGACACAGAGGCCCACAAGCCCATAGCTACTATGCATGGAGTGGGCAAAGGGGCCCACATCCGAAGGTTGATGAGTGTACTACCACTTGAATGTACAACCCCACAAAACGGAATAAGTTGTAAGAACAAACTCAATCTTGTGTCTATTTAATGGTCATCTTTATAAAAACAAAGAAATAAATAAAATTGAAATAATCACTTTAATCTACTCCACATATGGTAAAAAATATCAAGTGTATTGAATTTTGACTGTAAATTTTGTTTGGTATTGTTATTTTTCTTGGGTGCAAAATCAGTTTTTAAAAATTAAAAAACATTTTTTGGTGTTTACTTTTGCTAAATTAATTTTTAATCGCATAATTAAATTATAAATATCTTATAAAATTAAATAGTAAATATAATTTTCAAAATAAGTCATCTATTAGTTTTTAAACAAACATAATCTGACCAATTTTATTTGATCATAAATTATCTTTTAACAAATCTTACAAAATAAACTATTCAAATAATTTGAAGTTGGGCCTTGTATAATTAAATGAAAAATTATGTACAAGCTCCTTTTTCTAGATATAATGATGTGCAAGTGAAATGATTAATTAATAATTAAAAAAATATATAAGAGAGAGTTTGCTTTATATATTTTAATAGACTATTGTATCATTAAGCCTCCGTTTGGGAAGTGGGTTAGTTTTTTGACTTTTTAGTTTTTTTGGTTATTTTAGCTTGGGCTAAAAAGCTTGGTTTGGGAAGGACTTTTTGACTTTTTTTGTGAGAGAAGAGTGTAATGATTATGGGTTGGATGTGATGTTTTGTTTGTTGTGGCTAAAATAGCCTATTTTGTCTTTTGTGGCTATTTTAGCCCCAACTTTGCTTGCCAAACGGACCCTTAAGTTTGAAAAATGAATATAATTTTTGGGACTAAGGCCTCGTTTGGAAAGTGGCTATTTTAGAGGTTTTTTGACTTTTTTACTATTTTAGTAAGCTATTTTAGTTTTTGTGTTTGGTCGTTTGGTTTGAATTTCCCAAAACTTTTTGGGAAAATTTCTCTACAAATGAGTTTTCAGAAAAACTCAAACCAAACAAATTTTCTCAAAAAAATTTCCCAAAACTTGTAAACCAAACAAGTTTTCCAAACAAATCTCTCTCTCATACACATCAAATCAATCACTTTTTCCAAAACTCTCTCTCAAAATAATTTTCCAAAACATCTTTCCAAAAAAACCAAACCAAACAACTTTTCGTACTTTTTATCTCCCAAACTCATCTCCCAAAATCAAACCAAACAAGCCCGAGATGAATTTTTAGTTGAGTTGTTGTATTGAAAAATGTGTTGAAATGATGTTTAAATTTAAAATGACAAATTTGTCCCTAAATTATAATTTTTTAAATTGATGTAAAGGGGTAAAATGATAATTTAGCCGTTGATGATGACTTTTGAAGCTGTGATAGTGTAGGCACAGCCTACACTGTCCGGCGCTAAGCCTATTTTATTTTTTTATTTTTTTGAAAAACTTTGAACAATTTTACTTTTTAGCTTATTTCTCATTTCAGACTATAATAGCCTCAACCCACCATTCCCAAGCAACGCCTAAGTATTGATAAGTTTTTTAAGGTAAGGTGAATTAGGCACCGTTTGGGAAGAAGTTGGTTGGGCTTTTTTGGCTATTTTAGCCACAAAAAACAAAATAGGCTATTTTAGTCATAACAAACAAAACATCACATTCAACCCATAATCATTACACTCTTCTCTCACAAAAAAAGTTAAAAAAGTCAAAAAGCCAAAAAGTCTTTCCCAAACCAAGCTTTTTAGCCCAGGCTAAAATAGCCAAAAAAGCCAAAAAGTCAACCCACTTCCCAAACGGAGGCTTAAGAAAATTTTGATGGACATGTGTTTTGTAAAGACATGGGCCCAGCCCATAGAGCTGCAAACGAGCCGAGTCGAGCTTTAGTATGTTTGGACTTATTTATTAAGATTTTAACGAGCTCGAGCTCAAGCTCGAGCTGAATAAAAAATTAACGAACCGAGCTTGAGCCGAGTTGGCTTAGGCTCGACTCGAGCTCGAGTCTGTTCATGAGCCTTAACGAGCCAAAAAAATTATAAATTCATACCTACATGTGAGACTAAAGTTACAATTAAAACTTTAATTATACAATTATATATACAATATATATAAATATACTAAAAAAAAGTTCATATTTTACTAAAATAATAATATCTACTATCACTATTATGTAAATGTACTATCTATAGTTAACTATTATTTACATTTATATTTTTTAAATATATAAATAGCATATTTCTTTTATTTTTTATACATATTTTTATATTATTTATTATATAAATAATAACTATTAAACGAGCCAGCTAACGAGCCGAGCTTTAGAATGTTTGGACTTGTTTATTAAAAATTTAATGAGCTCGAGCTCGAGCTCGAACCTAAAAAAAATTTAACGAACTGAATTTAAACGAGCTCTTACCAAACTGAACTCAAACCTGTTCATGAACGGATCTCTTCATTTGCAGCCCTACCACCCCATGAACCATTTGAAAGAAGACAATTAGAAAGATATGTGCATTGGAAGCTAGTTGATGATGGAAAAGACACACAGGCCCACAAGCCCATAGCTACTATGCATGGAGTGGGCAAAGGGGCCCACATCCGAAGGTTGATGAGTGTACTACCACTTGAATGTACAACCCCACAAAACGGAATAAGTTGTAAGAACAAACTCAATCTTGTGTCTCTCTCTCTCTCACACACACACACACACACACACACACACACACACACACACGATTTTTGCGTATAGGTTTGTTTTTTTGGAGAAAAATTATATTATAAATGATATAATTGCATTCAAAATTTGAAAAGTAAAAAATTTTATAAATCCAAAACATCAACAGTGGGGAGATTTGAAAAAAAAATAATAATAATAAAAAATATATTTCATATAATATAATAGATATAGTTAGAAGAGTGAGCTAGAAAGATCATTAAGAATAGATATAATTTTTTTAGCTTGTGTATTTTAAATTTGTATACTAACATAAAAAAAAAAAAAAAAAAGTTTGATTTCTCTCAAATCGTCATTTTAACTTAAGGAAGCGTTTGGACTTGATAGGTTCATTTTGAAACCAATTTAGATAATCTGAATCATTCACTTTTTGAATTCGTTGAGTATAATATTCATGCAAAAAATTAAGATGATTCAACATCGATAGCTGCATGTTTGAATCATATTTATTTTTAAAAAATAGATGATAAATATAATTTCAATAATAATTATTCATCTTTTGTAATATAAATTTGATAGTTATCGATATACGATCATTTTGATTTTTTGTATAAATATTTTACTTAGTGATTCTTAAAATATGAACAGTTTAAATCACTAAAACGAAACATGTGGTGGGGCTCTACACTTCTCTCAAATTCTCTTATGTGTAATGTTAGGAATTTCAAATAATCTACTAAATGTTTTACCAAATTTCTCACATG